GTGTGTGTGTGTGTGTGTGTGTGTGTGTGTGTGTGTGTGTGTTTACATACATACAAGAGTCATGGAACTGTGCTTACAGCTCCTTCATATTTCATGTACACTGATAACTTGTGTAAATGGTACTTGTTGATGGCATTAAGATAATTTCTAATAGCATTAAAATAGCATTAAATTAAGAGTCACTCTTTCCTGTATGAACCCTGTGAACGCTTAATTTAATATGGCATATTAAAAAAATCCCATCAGCATCCAGCATATGTTCAGTTTCTGCCCAAATATTTTTTTGTTGTAGATTTTTGTAACCGGGATAACTAGGATCATTAAAAACCGCTTTCTTTGAATGAACTTTGTTTGTTCTCTACTCCCAAACTCAGCATCTCTTCATCCATTGCTTTAATAAGAAGGTTTTTTTTGACTAGATTTGATTAAACTTTAAGCCCCTCGGTATAAAATAAATATTTTGATCGAGATGAGAAATCTGCTTCCTGGTTGGTGAATAACCAATAGTTTGCATCCAATCTTTTAAATAAACGGTGTTAGTTTTTTCGGAATAAGAATATAAGAATTATGTTATAATTTCTAGTCACCGATCTGTTGCTGCTATATTTTAATTTGACGAACCGGAATTTCTCGATGTTCTTCTTCCTTTTTGGTGCGATTGCAATTGCGGATCTTGACCTGGCCGGACCGGAGCAGAGTAAAAAATAGATCGGCTCCGTATTTTGTCGGTGACGGGCGGAGAATACGTACGTGGACGGAGACGTGCGGAGGAGTAGTGGTGGATGTGGAACAGCTCTCATTGATTTACAAGAAAGACAAGCGCTCCGCACGACGTACGTCAGCGGGGCGGAGCGGAGCGCTGACGGAGTATGTGGAATCTGGGGCTAATGCTTTGATTATTTGTTAGATAAACCCATTTAACGCCGACACTCTTGGTGTTACATCTACAGAACACTGTGGGAACACTGTGGGAACTTAAGGAAATAAATTCAGAAAAAAATAGGCTACAGGATAATGGCTGCATCGGGGCTGATAAAAGGGTCAAATAAAAAGGCTATTTTAAAGATATTATTTTAGTAAAAACTTACATGTCTCTTTAAAGGTGTTGACTGAGCTATTGCTGCTACACACGCATGTGTTAACCCGCTTTCCCACTGAAAATACCAGGTTAACGCATGTTTTTCAAACATGGGTTGACCTCCTAACAATCGGCATTTGGCTCTCTTCCCATTGGCAAAAACAGCTGTGTCTAACCCCTTGCTGGAAAGCTATTTCCCCCTGTTGTTGCGTATCTGGTGACACCATTATGCTGGGTTAGTGTTGATGGTGTCACCAGTGCGAAAGAAATCAGGAAAGTAAACAATGAAGAGCTACATGTCAGGAAGCCAGGGCGTTATAATTGTCTTTTATTATTTTGCTCTTTTATCTGTCCAAATCCCTCTTATCAGTGCTTTGCCATGTTTATTGAATGTAAACAGAGTCGTAACACCTGCTCTGGAGTTCCAGGGTTAGCGCTGATGGTGTCACCAGTGCAAAAGAAATCAGGAAAGTAAACAATGAAGAGCAACATGTAAGGAAGCCAGGGCGTTGTAATTGTGCTTTATTATTTTGCTCTTTTATCTGTCTGAATCCCTCTTACCAGTGCTTTGCCACGTTTATTGGATGTAAACAGAGTCGTAACACCAGCTCTGATGTTCCATCTGCATGCTGATCAGAGCCGAGGCGATTTTATCGCTTGTCGAGCGGTTCCCACTGCCACTTAGCAGATTGTTCACAGATTCAAACAGGTTTTTTGGCCCGGGGTAAAGGGGTTTTAGAGAATAATCCTGGCTCAGTGCCTCTGTGTATAGCTTAGCTACAATTCTCATATGGAGGTAACACTGAGGTAGACTGGAGCCTGGTTAAGTTGGAGGTTTATTCTAGTTCAAAGGATCTTGTTACTTTCCACTGTGATTAACCTTGAAGGAGCGAGTTTGTGTCAATGCAATTAATTACACTTTCTGAAACAGATAACTTTTCCACAACATACTATTAAATGATCCAGTGAATTTGACTGTAATTCATCATAATTAGGATTATAATTTATGTAAATGAATGTGAATACATATATATAAAAAGCTGGATTGGCTTGGAAAGGATTGATATAAACGGAGTTTTAACCATCCTGAATTTAATCTTTGCTGTAAAATATTTTGTGAATTAGTGTTATTCTAATAAAATCCTTTAGCAGGAGTGTAAACTGATTTCTAATTTTGGCCCCTCACCCCATAGGCTCCTCTGGATGGACCTGTACCAGGTCCACAGATTGTGCATTGTTTAATGACCTCACATAAGCGTGAGTAGCAGCAGTTGTTTTCAATAGTAGCTGTAGAGGCGGGCTAACTTGTGAGCTGGTCTTGTGAGACCAAATAACACAATCCCCACTGAAGACACTAACAGCTCTGTTTGAGGAATCCTGATTTTGGGAAGTGTACTGTGCATGAGTGTGTCCCTAAGGGTCCAAATATGTCAAACAAAACAACATTACTCATTTCATGCCAAAAGAGATTAGTGGGTCATTTTCACCCCTACTCCCCTAATTCTGGTCAGGCACACGCAAACAAAAACACACACCCTATTGACTATAGCCCTTCCCCCTCCCGTCCCTCCCTCTACTAGACACATGCACGCAAGCTTGCACTCAGCGTTGTTCATTATGCACTTGCCCACACAGCATAGCGTGCCGGAAACAGACTCAATACGAGCCAAACTCCTGGTCCCTGCGGGCTCCGTGCCCCTAAAACACTGGATGCACCTTACTAAATTAGGTTAATTTGCCTTGGCCACAGACACCGTGCAAAACACAGTCTAGTGGCTTCACTGAAAAAATGAAGCACTAATTAGTTTTTGCTTTTCAAAACAACTCTCAGAAATGATCTTAACTGGGTAAAAGCTGGTCTGAATAGTTTTTAGTGAAATGATTAAATTCAATTAGTGGAATGTGAGAAAAACCAAAAGGACAAACTGTGATAAACTTTGACATCTCCACAATAAAAAGACTTTTGTTCATAATTAACCTCTAACATGTTTTAAAATACTGGGGTCTGATCAGTTTCACATGCACAAGGAAAGATTTACATACAAAGGGGTTGAAGATTCATCTTCTGATATTGAACACATTTTACTTCCATCTCGCGTCATGTTCATGAATGAGTTTCTGCCGCTGATGGAGGACAAACAATACAGAACCGAAGGTGGGCCTTATTTGAGTGGGTGCAATTTGCATGAGAGAGACAGCACGGTTCATTGATCGGTCCATAAATAGTCAAACACGCATCCCAAATGAAGTCATACATCTATCTCTCAGAAAAAATAGAAAACAAAATAGATGAAAAATAGGGAAAAGAAAATCCCAAATACCTGCAATAAAATTAGATCATGCCATTTTACAATGATACAGTACAAAGACCTCTTTGTAGAGGGAAGCTATTAACTACTAATGACACATTAAAGGGCAAAAGGGAACATTTGTTAGGCCCCCAGTTCCGTGAATCAGTTTGCCCTGAAACAGCCCCTACAGGAATGTCTGCCTGCTCTTTCACATTACTTCTGAGAGAATGAATTAAATGCACATCTCAGGCAAAGCATGAAAGCATTTTCAGGTCACATAGCCTGACTTCATGGTTTTGCCTGTTTCCTGGAAAGCTCACACAATCTGGAAACCTGTTTGATTGACATTATCTAATGATCAGTGGGATTATTAGTATGATTTCTCTGTAGTCGTTTGATGACCTCCTTCACTTTATCTGTTAGATGCACTGTCACTTTTCCATGCAAAGGTTTGTTCCTTTGGTGTCTACTGAGGCCCATGTGAAGCCTCCAGCTGCCAAGGCATAAAATTGAAGTAATGAACCAACTGAGGCTCCCATTCCCTGACAATAAAGCAGTTGTTTGAGGGTTAACTGCTGCTCAAGAGGGTAATATGAGCAGCTTCCACACCAATTTCAGAGTGATTACTTTGTTTTATTAAATTTCAAATTATTGGCCAAAGGAAATCTTGTATTACCTAGCAGTAACAATAGTATTTGTCTGTAAACATTTTCAAGTCAAAATAGCTTTAAAGCTGTAAAATTATATGTATTTAAGAAAAAAATAAATGTTTAGGCCTCCAAGAAAAAAATTAAACATCTATTTGAAATATTTATTTTCCGTTGGTGTATAAACATACTAGACTGTCTTGTAAATAATAGTTATTGAAATACATGTTACATATGGGTCCATTAAAAAATATAAATTTAAGGATTACAATAAAAAAAATTTGTGATGATATATTTTTTTCATTTGTGTTAAGAATTAAATTGCTAACTTAATTCTTCACTACACGTAGAAGTATGTAGAAAAAAAAAAGATACTTCTAGCCCTCCAAATATCAGCTTTTGTGAACACACTCTCCTTTTTTGCTGGTTGTTTTAAGAGGCATTAAGAAACTGAAAATTACATTTGTAATATAATATCTATAAAAGTGAAATTTATTTGTATAGCATTAAAACTGAAGAACAAACCTAGTTGGATAAAATAATTATTTTTTTGTGCACAGTCAGCCTATATGGAAATACCTTTAAATTCATTATGTATCACTTCTTCAGCCCAGTAGTGACAGAAATGCTATATAAATTTATAAACAATAACACACTCACAAAAAGACTCAGATGGATTGAGTTTGCAACATAAAATAGTCCCTGTATATGCATGTTTGTAACGTTAGTAGCAACGTTAAGGAAAATATCTTAGTTAAAAACAATCAAAAACTCAAAACAACACAAAGGGAAAACTTTGCTGTGTAATTAGATTAAGACAGAAATCAAGTAGCAATAGTAATCAAAGCTGTTGTTTTTACTCTCGTGAAAACATAACGTCCTGTGTTTACGTCACTCATCGTCTTTTAGCTACGTCGTAACCATAGCAACGGCGCGGAGGAGCCGTGCTGGCTACTTATTCTGGGTTTTTTTTCGGAGTTTTTTTTTTGCGTCTTCCCAGCAGGACTCGCAGTAAATATGGGTAGGTCGTATTTTATTTCGTTTTTTTAAGCATATAGACACAGGAGTCAAACTGACACAATTCCTAACTAACAAAATGACAAAAAAAAATGTTTTTTTATCGAGCGCATTGATTCGTTTTAATAAAATCTTTGAGATTTTGTGTCAGGTTTATCAGCAATTGCCCCATTTCCCCTGCTCAATTGAACTTTTGGCGTTTCGTTTAATTAAGAAGACAAGCAAAAACTCGTTTGTTAACTTCATATAGATGCTTAAACATACTCAGAAGTGTGTTTTTTGCATTTAAAACCTAGTACTTCGAAGTGTTTGTAGTATGTATGAGTTTTATTACGTTTTTCAAACACATAGCATTTTGCATGTGAACAAACATGGCTTATTTTATTGATATCTCCCCAGTGTACCTTGTGCTTGTGCTAAATGTTTGTCAGGGTTTACAAAAGCTGACCTCTTGACTGGTTCTCCCACCTGAGCAGGATCTCTGCAGCTGCTCCAGTTCCTTCCAAGCAGCTTGTCTTAAAAATAATCTCCTACCTAGACCTGTTGATTTAGACAGACCAGACTGCCTTCACTTTGCTGATATGACATATTTGCTGCATTTCTGGAGGATAGTAATGTTGGCTTTGAGATGTTTGAAGCTTGGTGTATTGTTTCATAAGTTATAACCATCTATGCTTTAGACTTCTCCACCACTGTATCCCTGATCTTCCTGCTGCATTACTTGGTCTTCATAAAGCTGGCTGTTACAAAATACCACTTGATGCATAGTCACTACACACCTATGTTTTTATTCATAAAAATAAATAAATAAATAAATAAATGAATAAATAAAACTGAAAAGCTATGTTTCCATCCACTTCTGAAGTGCAGGACTGTAACATAAAATCCCAATGAAATACACTGCAGCCTGTTGTTATAGTTTGACTAAACATAAAAAAAGGTATGAATAGCTTTGCAGGTCATGATGAAAGTGAGTTTCAAATGGCCGTTTATTTTTATGGGTAAATTGTGACGCATCCCGGGCAGGAGGACCTATCTTCGCCCCCCCCAGTGCCTGTTTTCTGTTCCCTAATGGTTCCATAATGGTTCCATACTAAAACAGACAATATCACAGAGGAAAAGTTTTAATGCAAAATCAGCCCTTCAACTTTGAATCCATCTAAAATGACAGTCTGGCTTACTGCAGTCACTAAGCGTAACTAATTTATCTGTGCTCTGTGAACCAGCAGTTGAAGATCTAAGCTGTGCTTTAAATGTGGAGCCCAGCAACAGCAGGGGGGCCCTATGAGGATATTAGAGTTGGTGAGCACTGGGTTTAGTTTGTGTGTCTGTGCTGGCATGTGAATGTAGAAGACCTTATTGCAGAAGCCAGTGTGACCGTTTATATTAAAGTAAATGTCCAGATTTTCTGGACTCGCCTGTCCTGCTTGCTCTTTACTGCTGACTGCTTCATTTGCATATATGTACATTTCAGCAATATTGTCTCACTCTATTTCCATCTGATGTTTTGCCAGTGCTTTTCCATTCACTGAAAAAATGCTGATGGTTGAATAACCTGAGAATGTGCACAAGCAGATAGACAGAAATAGGCCAGGCTCAACTTCCTCTCACGACTTACTTGCTCCCGTGGTCAGATTCTGGACCACACTTAAAGCCACTGTTACACCAAATTGCGCATTGCGCATTAGCTTTATTCAAAGCTTGTTTTCTCTTTGCAGTAGAAAAAAAGAAAAGCTTATAGCTTTCTATAAGCTATAAAAAGACTGCAATACACAGTTAAAGAAAAATCTTCTTTATTTCTAATGATTGTGAACAAACAGTTTGATATGTTCTTTAAAAAAAACTCAGCATTTCTGTTTCTACAATAATGGGACTACAAAAAAAAAAGTTGAAATGCTAAAGCAAGTTGTGCAGGATTTCATTAATATGCTATACACCAAAACGTTGATTTATTTCGTTCAAATTTAGTTGCTTTTAAAGGGAGGATAGTTATGAGAAAAGACGTATTAAATTGATGATTACATTTTTTAAAAACGTATTTCTTTAAATGGAATTTGATCTGCAGATGCTAACCATATTAGCACCTTTACTTCTTTCAGTTGGCAGTTTTCTGGCCAACAACACTAAAACAGTCCGTGTCAGAAAATGGTTGTGTTTTAAAACTGGGACTATACACCAGAGTCCTGCAGTGGGTCCAGTACCTGTGGGTATCTGAAGGGTACCCATATAAAACATACATCTACGGGTAGAAAAAAAAATCCCCTTATTATTTTACGGGTGTGGGCACGGATATAAATGAACAAAATTCAATTCAATTCAGTTTATTTATATAGCGCCAATTCACAACACGTAATCTCAAGGCACTTTCCAGTTCACCAGATCATACAGTCAAATTGATTCAAAGTTTTCTATCTAAGGAAAACCAGTTAATTGCATCGACTCATTGACTCGAATGCAATCCCTCACACTAAGCATGCTTGCAGCAACAGTGGAGAGGAAAAACTCAGTTTTACCAGGAAGAAACCTTCAGCAGAACCAGGCTCAGTGTGAGCGGCCATCTAACGAGGCCGACTGGGGTTCAAGGAGACAGAAGCAGAGATACGAAAAGCAACTGTAAAAGGCGGCCCCGGCCAGGAAACACGCAGCCAGGCAGACGAGCACCGAGCTGGCTCCCATGTCAGAGGATGAAGAGAGCACATCCAGCCAGTCACAGTCAGAGAAACAGGACTACACTGAAAAACAGGCAGATCTCAAACATGTATAAACAAAGGTCTCGATGGCAGCAGAACAGCTGATATTTCTCTCCAGGATGGAATCACAGCCAAACAGGAACAGGCTATTATGGGAAAAAGCAGAGAGAGCATAACGTTAGAAATTGAACTAACAGATTCTGCAAAGTGGGAGAATAGAGATACAGTGAAGCAGAATTATGAAAATCTGCCTGTAAAATGCAGGCAGGTGTCATACAGCTAGTTAAAGCATGAATGGAACTTATATTTTCTTATTTATTATTTATTAACTCTAAATCTTAAAAAAAAAAAAATTGATTCAAGTATATAAAGATAACAGTAATTTAGTAATTTTAAGCAACAAAGCAAATGTTAATATGTGAGCGCAGTGGGCACTGGAAGTGAGCATGAGGCACCCTGACCATTGATTAAGGTTGCACTTTTTTATGGGTCCGTGTGGTCCCGGCCAGCTTTTTAATGAGGGTAATTATGGATAATGGATCGGGTCTTGGTTCTGAACTCTACAGGTGTAGGCAGATACAGTTCGGATTATATACACCTGTATATACACCATATTAATCTCACAACATCTGTTTAAAAATCACTTTGAAACAGTGTACTACTACAACTGTAGATGACATTATCAATGATATCCATCCAATAATGTTGTATTCACATGATTATTTTTTTAAGTTTAGTAAAAGAATGTACAGATTGTGGCTATCAGGATAATTTCGTTTGGCCTATTTAGCCAACATAAGAGAACATGGAAATACATAAGAATTTTCTAAAAGTATAAAAATAGAAATCTTTTTTTTTTTAAAAGGTAAGAGTCCACACATATAATTTTTTATTTTTTTTGACAGTAAAATGGAACACTAACTCCCAGTAGCTTTCCCTGGCGGCCAATTTCAAACAATGTTTCAACCTAGAAACACTGTATGTAGATGCTTCCCTTTAGGGTTTCATTGTTGTTATGACCTTGAAAACTTGCTTGTCCGCAGCCCAAAATCACAGAACTTTACTGTTACTGTTGCATGAGAGTTTCTGCTTCTAATAGTGTGCTTGGATCTGTGAGATACATGCAACTCCCTCTTCCCTTCTGTTTGGTGACAAAAACCCTCTTTAAAAACTGGAGTGAGAAAGTCAGTGTCTTACTCCTGTTATATGTGATGTGACCAAAACTGAGTGCCTCTGTGATTTTAAAACTGTGTTTTGTAAAATTACGATTATATTACAAATAGGGCTGAAACTAACATTTGTGATTGATCGATAATTAAAATAATTTTTAACTAATTTAGAAATCGATTAATCATTAACAGCAGTATAAAGACTCTAAAATGTGTCTTTAGCTGACAGAGCAACCCAACTTAAACAGCATTTATACCAAAATTGTAAAAATAATATGTAAAAATGTCGCATTTAAGATAAAAAAAAAATACTTTTTCGTCTGTCGATATGCTCCTGATTCTCCTGGCTAATTTGTGAAAAGTCTTCTTAACCCTGTAATGCCAAATGTATCATACAGTATTTAATACATATGGTTTCTGAAATGTTTTGCTTCTGACACCTTTTGCATAATTTAATGGTAAAAACTTTGCTCAAAATCCTATTGTACACAATCAGATATACCTGATAACAGAGGGCAGAAGACTACACAAAAAATAATCTTGACTTATCGCATAGTAATAAATTATTAATATCAAAAATGTATTTCTGTTTTTTCTTTTTACATATTTTGTTAAAATGCCAAATAAGTACTTCAAACCAAAAAAAAGTAATTTTCTGTTTTGTTTTATTCTTGGATCGGGCTTTAAAGGGTTAAAGACACCTTTGTCTATCCGATTATTAGTTGAAAAAGAATAATCGACAGATTAATCGATTTGCTAAATAATCGTTAGTTGAAGCCAAATGCAATTACTTAACCACCCTTTCTTCTCACACTGGTAAGTGTGTTCTCTAAAAGTATTTTTATTTTATTTTTTTTTTATCTTACACGCTATTAAGATTCTGTTTTCATTAATTCCCTCAAATCTTTTCCATATCCCAAAGAAAGAAAGGTGAGACAACAGAGCTGTTACAGGGTGGTGATCACAGTGTTCAAATCAATTTTCACATAAACTGCAGGGTAGAACATCATGTCCTTTATCTGTACCAAAAGCAACGGACACTTTGGTTACTATCTAAGACTGTTTGTACAAATACTTTTTGTGTTATAAAAAGACCTGGGTGTGTTTAGTCTTTTTAATGCTTTTTACAAATCAATAAATAAGTTTTAGATTCTTACTTTTGTAAAAAAAATATTGGGCTAATCTATAATATAGTTCAGCATGTGTTGGTTGTCATCTAAAGATTCCTTCACGTTACTAATCTGCTTCTTATAGAAGCCAAGAGGGGGTCCATGGAGGCAAATCCTGCTGAAGAAGAGCAAATGAAGACCCTTCTTCATTCTTCTCCAGTTTACCCATTGCCTGAGGAGATAAAAAATGTAAGTTCATATATTAAGCTACACAATTAGTGTTTTTCACATTATTTGCTGAGGACACAGAATCGTATCCACTTTAAAGTAGACCATACTAACACAACATATGTTCTAAAAATGTGTTTGTTTTATTGAAAGTTGAATTTGCTGAGTGTTTCAACGCCAGACCTTTTTTCTATTCTACAGTAATCCATATGATTTAAATAAACGGAACAATGTCTCCTTTTTTTATATTATAGCAACAATGGCATGTTGGTTTTTATCCTCGCCAAAGTCAGGTGGTAGATAAATATTCCCATATGCTATGCCATATGGTATGTGTAGAAATTTTCCAAAAGTAGTTATTGTTTTTTTCCTTTAACTGGGCTAATGGACGCATATCCGTCTGCTAATAAAATCTCAAAAGATCATGATTTGCAGGAACAGTCAAACAAATAATATAAATATATATATATATGGATTCAAAATATACATTTTAAAACAACCTTCTTTCTATGTTTTTACAACCCAAAACACTTAAGGTCTTTAATTCAGAGTAAAGAAAGAAAGATATGTTCTGGATAAGTACAGATAATGGACAAATTTTGCCTTCAGTCTACCCTGACTTGGATATCCTGACAAAAAAGCAGCATTGTTTACCTTTCATGTTGGCAGAGCAGATTGATTTTCCGTGCCGGTTGTAAACGAACCTCAAATGTGCGGCAAAAGTATTGTTTGTATGAATGAGCAACCTTCATATAATAAATGCAGAGTATGCAGCTGCTGGAAGGCTAATGAGAAACATTTTTCCACTACGATGCATTACCTTTAGTTTCCATAAAGGCCTCAAACTGAACAGTATGGTTCCTCAGTCAGAGTTCCCTGCCTTTGTTTGTAGTGGTGATTGCCAGTCCATATGGCCATTAAAAAAATGGAACAATTTCATTATATGATTATGAATGTGACCAATTTAACTGACTGCTTGTATGTTTTTAACAAGTGAAGACATATTTTAAAGCTATTCTTATACTTACTATCTATATCTGATCATGAAATATGGGAAAAAAAGAAAGTCTACACACACCACACAGGCTACAGTACCAGGTTTTATATACATAACTTTAAATGTTGTTTCAATACTTTTTTCACCTTCCACTCTGAATGTTTCCTGTGATTTTTACCACCTGGTTGCATACTGGTATTCACCCGTCACACCTGGTTTTTTCGGGCTATGTTCAGAATTTACAGTCATTTTCCAAACTTGCAGTTGTTTAAAGTGTCCCTAATAAAGTCTAGCTGTTCCATGAGGCTATACCTGACAGCAAAACCATGATCTGCAAGCAGGTGCCAATGCATCAGCGGAGTCTCATCTTCTAAATGTATCAGAGGAAAGGTTCAAAAGACTTTCTTAGACATCAGATTTATGAAAATATCATGAAAAATATCAAAGCCAGGCTAGATTTAGATATAATTAATCTAAAAGCCTCCAAATATATTCATGAAGCATAATATAAATTGTGTTATGCTGTAATGAAACAACATTTAATACTTTGGCCATGAATATAAAAACTACTTTTGGTTCAAAATAAAAGAGCAGAATTAAAATAGTTAAATATGACCGTGTTGGTGGCAGCATCATATGATGAGGATCATTTTTTACTCCCTTGATATGAGTCTCCTGTCAAAGTGGTGCAGTTTCAAATATCCGTCAATGTTGGCCTGAGGTCTTTGGCTTCCTCTGCCTGAAAGCCAAAGATGAAAAGGATATTTTTACCTCAATGATCCAATGTATGTAAATCATTACATACATTGTGGGGTAATGATTTCCTGCTGCAGCCTCCCAGGACAGGTCTACCTGTCCCTTGCTACTCTCAGGTTCTGTGGGAAGTGCGGCTTCTGCAGTTCTTGCCACATTCAAAAAAACAACACCACCAAACACAAACACATTTATTTCTATGCATATGTTCACACACACACAAACGCACAACAAAAAACAAATTAGTCTATATGGTTGAAGGTAGTACAAAAACAGGCTACTATAACATTGCTGTGGTTTGCCTATTTAAATGATAATTTGAATATCATTTATAGATAGATAATAGATTTTAATTAAGTCATTCACAAAATTGTGGTACTATCTTAAGATCTCTTTTTTTGTATAGCTAAGCTCCCCTAGAACATGTAGGTAATGTGTATTCTTATGAAGTAATATTGTTAATATTGTTGTTATTCTGGTTGTATTTTAAAGGTATGAAAGAGGACTTTCATCAGAAATTAAGTGTGCAGATTAATCTAAAATGATTTAATAGATGGATGGCATTCTTGCACTTATGGTTATGGACGTGAGGCCTACAACACATTAACATGAAAACTAGATTGGCTACTTGTTTGTCAGTTAAACATTTTGCGTACATGGCGCCATGATGTTATTTACGTAGGCTCCAAGCGCAATTCATACTTTGTTTGGCTAGCGTTTTGCCATTCCGCCGAAAGTAGAGGTACTCCTACACTTGTTTGCTGCTGCGGCTATTTTTTTTGCTATTTCTTCGGGCATCAATGGCCGAAAAGAATCCTGACAAACTTAACCAGAAAAGAAAACCTTTTTTCAATATTGTTAAAAAGAGGAGAGTAAGTCGATGCAATAAACTGGTTTTCCTTAGATAGAAAACTTTGAATCTATTTGACTGTAAGAACTGGTGAGCTGTAAATAAAAGATGACATGAGTTGTGAATTGGTGCTATAAAATAATTATATTTTATATTTTGAATATATATATATATATATATATATATATATATATATATATATATATATATATATATATATATATATATATATATATATATATATATATATATATATATATGAATTATATATAAATTAATTGAATTGAATTAAAGCTGCAGTCTGTTACATTGAGAAGAGAGCAGACTTCGACTGAAAATTTGAAGAAAAACAGGTTTCACGCCACTCCCCCACCCTCTCTGCTTCACTCATGCCCCACCTCCAAGCTCCACCCCTCTCACAGCATCTGCGCGGCTACCGCATGCGACCAGAAGCGTCCAAGCAGCGTACGCGGCAGCTCTTCCATTGACATCTTCTTTTTTGAAGTCTTTGCCGTGTAAGCAGTTGTCGGCAGGGGCAGTAAGGGCAGTTTCTCTTTCGCTGGTGGCTGTTGCTCCGCCATGACTTCCACGCGCATCCTCCTGACTGCAGCAGCCGGGCGGCAGCGGCAGGTTCACCGGTGAGAGGGAAGGGGCGGGATTCAGCGTGTGTGAGCTGTGATTGACACTCCATCGGACGCTCCTCTGGCTGTGATTGGTTGTTTTGTCTCGTCCCGAAATATTTTTCCCAGATTGAAATACAGCCAGTAGGCTGGACCAATTGAAGCAGTTTTTTTTCACAGGTTACATATCACATGTACTGCTGTCTGGGCATAGGGACAGTTTAAGCCAATATGACAAAAAAGTGATTTTTAAAAACTTACAGACTTCAGCTTTAAGTGGGAGAGAAAGTAGCTAGCTAAGTGTGTGTTTATGAGCAAAAGGACAGTTAAATTACGTCAAATTCTGTAGTACTTTTTTTTTTATTATGCATCATATAAGTAATAAAGTTGTAGCAGCAGTAGTAAGAACACACCAACAAATTGTAAATATAACTTGCTGTGAAAACACCGGCAGAGAAATGGAGATTTCCTGCTGACTAGGTGCAATCTCTGTACTTTGCTGCCTCTCTGGGTGAAATACAAAATTAAAGGCGCAGGCGTTCCCATCGTAGAGAACTTTAGCTAACAAGGGGGCACTGACGCATACGCATGATTCAAAAATACACAAACAGCCTTTGGACATATCTTCCACCACAGAATCCTCTTTCCTGTCTCTAATCTAATTATTAATTTAAACTTCACGGCTTTAAACTATGCGTCTTTTACCCCATGCTCCTTTCCAGAGCTGCCAGGGAAACACATGACTTTCTCATTTAAATAGGGTAGGATATATGGGTCAAACTGCTTTTGCACCTGTTGCAAATGCTGCACACAATATTTGTAAATCACATGCAATACTCCTAAAGACTGTATTAATAGTCTTTTGCCAAAGGTTATTTCAAAGTTTCTTATATTCCTATCCTTTATTAGAGTAGTTAGTGACACACCAAGAGATGGCTCTTTGTCCATTTCGCTTTATCTATCCATATCCTCCATTGTCCTTTTTTCTCTTCAGCACACCCAAAATATTTTCTTTAGAAATGTATATTTAAATGGCTGACTTTGGGTTTAGTCAAGCATTTATGTCTTAATCTTAAACCTGCGTTGGCAATTTTGCAATTTTGTGCTGAAAGCCCTGAAAAGAAAAGGCGGCAACGTATTTGGACAAAGACATGGCTGATCAAACGTTTCTACTACGGTCTGTCAATTTTACAGAAAGAACTCCATTTCACCCACACCCCCGCCATGCTTCTTTTTTTTCATCTGAAAGGAAGAAGAAGAGTCCTTGTTTGCGCATGCCCACTGAGCGATTTGCTCACGAAGGTCGACTGAAAATCAAACATGTTTGATTTTCTCCTGACCTCACGATTGCTGATCGGGAGGTGGCTGTGAGAGGCTGATCGCCCCATATTAGGGTTGCCACGATACTAAACTTTTCAACTCGATACAGATACTAAGGAAAATATTTGATACTTGATACCATTTTCGATACCACAAGGATAAAAACAAAGACTCCAAAATTCAACAGAAATATTTTCATTAATAAATAAAATACAATAAATAAATCCAATAAAAAATAAGAACAATGTTTTGAGGTTGTATGCTGTGCACAATATTAAGCAAGCTTGATAAAAAACTTATAAAATTAAGTGTTCCTTCCTTGGCTATGCTTTGCACACATAACAATGACACTAGCCAAACTGGTTAAGAAACAAAAATAATTCTCAACAGCTGCACCTCTTACAAAAAAAAGTCTGAAACTGAAAAGTGCACAGAATTATTCAATCACACAGTGTTCTGAAAGTGCATTGTCCTCTATTCT